CCATGTGACATAGAATGTGGACAGTAACTAAGAGGCTACAAAGAGACAGAAACTTCAGTCCTATAGCTGCAGAGAACTGAATCCCAGAACCTTGAATGAATCTAAAGAGAGATTTCCCTCAGAGCCTCCAAATAAGGATTAAGCCTCGCCACCACTTTGATTTCAGCTTTATGATTTCAGACAACCAAACCAGTCAGTAGTGCCAGGACTTCTGACATATGGAATCATGAGCTAATAAAGAGTCGTTATTTAAATCATTAAGTTTGTGGTAATCTGTTATGAAAGCAATAGATAATACACAATCTATTTAAATCATTAAGTTTGTGGTAATCTGCACATTTTCTCTTGCAAGGTTTCTGGGGGTGTAGAGATGAGCTGTAATTCTTTGAAATGTCTTAAGGATATTTGTGGAAATAAAACAGAAATACAAAAATACAATACAATGAATTCTTGCTGATTGAAATGAACTGAAACAGAACAGAAAGGCTGAGTAGAGGACACAGAGATGGGTCACTACAGAAAAATACCAGGCAGCCCTCAAGTTAACACTGTTTTAATCTCTGCATTTGCTGTGGAACAGGGAACTAGAATGGAAAGCTAGTTAGAGCAGTAAAACAATCCAATCCAAACCTCCTTGTGGAAGCAGAAACCAAATGTTTTGCTACTTCATGGGATGCTGAGTATAGGAATGGGGTAGCTGTTTATATACCCTGTTATTAAACAGAGTCTGGGAAGTAGAAAGCATTTTAAAGAACCATTCCATAGAATGCCCTATTTTTTCCAACTTCAGGGTTTGTTGCAGCTACTGAAATGGAGGAGACTTGGGAAAGTGAGAGTTCTAACCCTATCGGAGTTGTGACTTCTGTTCAAGCTGGGTTATTGGAATTTCCAGCATTCAACATAATGTCTACTCTCTGAAGCTTTCTGTTGTGGGAGATGCTATCCTCCAGGGTCAAAAAACAATCATTCCAAGCCAGAGCGATAGTATAGCAGGTAGAGCACTTGCCTTGCACCCTATATGGTGTCTGGAGCACTACCAGGATTAATTCTTGAATGCAGAGCCAGGAGTAACCCCTGAGCATCACTGGGTGTGGCCCCAAAAACAAACAAACAATCATCCCTCCCAATGTGGACTGGTTGCATTTGTCTATTGCAGCACAGCTGTATGTAAAAATCCATATCCTGGAAACAAGATTCAGTAACAACAATCCTGGTAGGGGATTCAAACAAAAAAGAACTCCTACATATTCATTACTTCTTGGAAAAATTAATTTATGTAGGAGAACACAGGCACTTCACAAAAGATATCAGAATGGACAGCACTCATAAAATGGCAACTGGTAGCATGAGTAACCAGAGAAACAAACATTAAAACACTGCACTAGACTTGACTCATTGAATGGCCTACCGATATTGGTAAGGATCTGAAGCTACTGGAATTCCTCTGGTTTACTAGTGAAAATACATAAGTTGGTAACTACTTTGGCAAATGGTGTCTAATGAGTTTTAATAAAGGGGTGCCTTCTTCGGGATCCTGCAATTCTACTACATTCCATTTTCCAAAGAAAAATGAAAATACTTATGTAAAAAGACTTAAAACAAAAATATTTAGAGCAGCTTACATATAAAAGTAAAAAACAAAACCTGTAAACAACTAAAAAGTCTATGTATACTCCCCAAAGCATTATACAGATTCAGTGCTGTCCCTATAAGGATAACCCATGACAGTTATTCAAAGAAATTGATCAATACTCCTGAAATTCATATAGAACAATAAACCCCCACAAATAGCTAACTCAATCCTTGGAAAAAAGATGGGAGGCATCACCTTCCTCAGCTTCAAACTGTACTACATAGAGTTAGTAAATAAAACAGCATGGAATTGGAATAAAGACAGACCCTACCACTGAAATAAAGGTGAATATCCTGACACAGACCCTCAAATATTTGATCACCTAGTCTTTGATAAGAAAGCAAGACAAATGAAGTGGAGCAAAGAAAGTCTCTTCAACAAATGGTGCTGGAAAAAATGGACAGTTATATGTAAAAAAAAAATAAACTCTGACCTCTGTCTAATGCCATGCACAAAAGTCAGGTCAAAATGAATTAAAGACCTCAACATCAGACCTGAATCCATAAGGTACCTGGAAGAAAACGTAGGTAAAATCCTCCATGTCATTGCAGCGAAAGGTATCTTCAAAGATGAAACACCACTGACCAAGCAAGTGAAAGCAAAGGTAAATAATTGGGACTATAATAAACTAGAAGTTTCTGCAAGAGACTTTAGTTTCTTCAAGAGAAACCAAATGACCAAGATACAAAGAAAGCCTACAGAATGGGAAAGTTTATTCACCCAATACCCTTCTGCTAAGGGGATAATATCAAAGATATACAACGCACTGGAAGAACTTTACAAGAAAAAAACATCCAACCCCATCAACAAATGGAGAGAAGAAATGAACAGAAACTTCCTCAAAGAAGAAATACAAATGGCCAAAAGGCACATGAAAAAAATATTCTTCATCACTAATCATTTGATTTGATGCAAATCAAAACAACAATAGATATCATCTCATATCACAGAGACTGGCACACAGCCAAAAGAATAAGAACAACCAGTGCTGGCGTGGATGTGGGGAGAAAGGGGCTCTCTTTCACTGTTGGTGGGAATGCCCACTGGTCCAGTCCTCTTGGAAAATAATAAGGCCATTCCTCAAAAAGCTAGAAATTGAACTCCCATTTGACTCAGCAATACCACTTCTGGGAATATACTCTGGAGGCCCCAAAACACGCAGCAGAAACACTATCTGCAGAAACTCCAACTGTACTTCTACGTTCATTGCAGCACTATTCACAATAATCAGAATCTGGAAACAGCCTGAGTGCCTGTGAACAGATGAATAGATAATGAAACTATGGTACATCTATACAATGGAATATTATGCAGTGATAAGGAAAAATGAAGTCATGAAATTTGATTATAAATGGATGAACATGGAGAGTATCATGCTGAATTAAATTAGTGAGAAGGGGAGAGACAGATACAGAATAACTTCATTCATTTGCGGTATATAATAGTAGAAGACTAATATCCAAAGCCAGGGAAAACAAGGGCTAGGAGGACTAGTCAATGGTTAGAATCTACCACAAGTGTATGTGGGGTAGAGGGTAGGTAAGACAGAGAAGGGACCAATATGACGATAATAGTTGGAAATGATAACAATGGAAAAGAACTGTTAAAAAGTAGGCGTGGGATATACATGACAACCTTTCAGTATCTGTATTGCAAACCACAATATCCAAAGGGAGGGAGGGAGGAAGAGAGAGAGAGAGAGAGAGAGAGGTGATAGGAAGAGAGAGAGAGAGAGAGAGAGAGAGAGAGAGAGGTGATGGGAGGGAAACTGGGGACACTGGTGCTGGGAAATGTACACTGGTAGAGGGATGGGGGTTGGACCACTGTATGACTAAAATTTAATCATGAACAGCTTTGTAAGGTTCTATTTCACAGTGATTCAATTAAAAAAATCTTGGGGAAAAAAGTATACATATTATACATATGTATATACATATATGTATATATATATAGAATGTACCAGGTTTTCTGACTAATAGTATGATTAACTGTCAAAAACAGTTTCACAGAGAAACACAGACAAAGACAAAAGAATACCCTCTGGAACATTCCACTTGTGTTATGTTCCAGAACACAAAGTCAACTTCAAAGAAATGTCGGATGTCAGAATAGGTTTCCTCTAACAGGGAAGGGAAGTCACGAGGGAATTTTTCAGTTATTTTCCTGAACCGACTCTTAGCAGTTTCAGGTGGTGGCCACAAAGGTAGAGACTACGCACATGCCGAGCCACCACCCTTGTTAAGAATTACACATTTTATTGTATGTAATCCTAGTGCCAAAAGGCAATGCTCAATTAAGTACTTACAAAGGAAAAAGGAAAACATTTTACCGGGGCTGGAAAGACAGTACAGCAGATAGGGCGTTCGGCCAAACCGGGTTCAATCCCCTGCACCCGATATAGTCACCCAAGCCCACCAGGAACGGTCCCTGAGCACAGAGCCAGGAGTAAGCCCTGAGCATCATCAGGGTGAGGCCCAAAAACAAACAAACAACAACAAAAAAAACAACAAAAAAGCACTACCAAACTCCCCTAGGAGGAAGCAGCGCCAATATCTCCAAGCCACGTTCAAGGCAAAGGTGCAGGATAGGACAGAGTCACAAGGAACAAACTCGCACCTTTGCCCTCTGAGGGCTCTGAGGAAACGCTGGCAACGTGGAGCCGCGCTGCTCACGCGCCACGAAGACCGCGCCAGGTGCGACGCCCAAGGCTTGACGACCACCAGGAAGCTGATAACATCTCCTAACAACTCCACGAGGAAAACTCAAGCCCACACTGGGACTGAGAAATTGTCGTGAAAGAGGCCTTCCGTATCGGCCCAACGGGCGGTGAAGGAGTCCATCCCTATCAGACCCTCCGCGCCTGAAGACACTTGCTAAAAGTCTGTATACGAGATAAGTTATCATGTCCCTTTTAAAATTTGCTCTAATGTCCCTTTTACAACTTGCTAACTCCCGCTTGACCGAAACTCAGAAAAAAAAAATGAAAAAAAAAAAGGGTCCTGAGCCTCGCTAGGAACTAAAGGCAACCTAGAACGGGAGATTCTCCTCAGGAATCACGTCCTCACCTCAGCTGGGACCCCGCCTAAGGGAGGTTTGGTTTAACCACTTAGCCAAACTGAGCAAAAACCAAACGAGGTTCCCTGGCACCTCTAGCCCGCATCGACCACAAGGTCCCCGGCGCCAGGCTCCCGCGCCGCCCTTCGAGTCCTCGCTCCGCCCCCGCGCGCGGCCCGGCGCACGCGCTTTCGCTCCGCCCACGGCGGGCCCCGTGCACGCGGCTTCGAGCCCCGCGCGGCACTGCGCACGCGCCCTCGCTCCGCCCCGCGCGGCTCTGCGCACGCGCGGGCGCGGCTGCTGGCCAACGTACCTGGGGCAAGCCGGAGGCGGACACTTTCTTCTTCTTACTGGCGCTGTAGAGCCCGGAACCGCTGCCGTTGTGAGAAGGGCTGGCTGGCCTCTTCTTGCTGTTCCGGGCGATTCCCGGGGTGGATGAGGCGGCCACAATTGGTATTTGGGCCGCCATGCCTAGCTGGTTTCCCTCCTCCCCCACCCCCCTCGCTCCCGAGCTGGCCCGGCAACTTCCGGATCGCCCCTACTTCCGCCTTGAAAACCCGGCCTGGACTCTGAGCGTTCGCTGAAGTCCTCGGCCCAATCTAAAAGGCGGAGCCCGGAGCCGTCTGTGCTGCAGGGGGCGGGGATGGGCGTGCGAGGCGGCATCCCGCTGCTCCTGGAGATCAGGCCCACGCCTGGAAATCCCCAGTGTTTGTGCACTAGAAAGCTTCCTTTCTCCTTTTTCTTTTCTGTCTTTCCCTTAAATCGTCAGAAGACCATTGAATCACCTCTCCCACTCAAGATTAGTCACTTGGGATATTTAACAGTAGGTTGCTAGCTTTCCTCCTCCTGTGGAAGAAGCCTGCCTATGGGAAGTGTCAAGTGTGCTTGACTTTCAAGTCACATAACCCCAGGAACCTGTTAGGTAGCTCCCCCGACCTCCCCACCCCGTACTCCGGATGTCTGCAGAGAATATTGGTAAGAGAAATGGGTGCAAAATGGAGTCCTTTATGCCAAGTCTCACGCAGGTTTAATACACAACCTATTTTCCGTTCCGATGTCTTCCAGAGGTGAACATTTTAAGCACCTTCCCCTCCTGCTGACCCCTATGGGAAGATCTTTACCAGGGCCCATCTTTTGCTAATGACCTTGACCTGACCCTTCCCTCCCCGCACTTCTTTCTAGAGTAAGCCCTTGCACTGTGGACGGTCTTCAGAGCACCCCTTGGATAACTAGGTGGGATATTTTCTGGCTCGTGAATCTTTAATTGAGATGAGTTTTGTTTAACAAGATCGAAGGAGTGAAAGTTTAACTTGAGGTTACAGGCAGTTTATAAATTTGCTAAAAGTTATTTAGAAACGTTGGTGGAAAATTTTCCCCACACCACCAACACTGTCTTGTTATTTGCCACATACTACTCTGTGCTTCCTCAGAGCCATTGTAACATAAGCTGCCTGCTTTATAATTGCTTGTTCAATGAGGGAGAGGCCCTCAATATTTTATTCACCTTTCCCTCAGGTTACAGTACCTTGCAAGTCATTGATACAGTGGGACCAAAGAGATGTGACTCCAGTTTGATCCATGGCACCTCAAAGGGTCCCCAGCACCACCTGGAGTGATCTTTGAGTGTCAGCCCAAAGCCAAAACAACATTAATACAGTATAATAATTTTAAAATAAAAGTGAATGAAATTCTGCAGTAAATAGTGGAAGCTACTACTGTGTCCTAATACAGGAAAGCGGCATAGTTGAATCTGGCCATTTGAAGGAAATCAATTGCAAAATGATGCAAGAGAGAGAACAGTTAGGACTAACAATAACTTTCATTTCTCCTTAGTAGAATGGAGTACCAGAGTTGAAATATACCCTCCCATAGCCCAGTCTCCAGACCTAAGCCTAGTTCTCTTCATTCTTATCTCACTGATACAACCAGTCAGAAACTAGGTTTTAATCCTGGCTTCCTGACCTCACCCTGAGTATTGCACCCAGTCTCCATTCCAGTTAGCCACACCTTCATTATGCTTTTTCTATACTACTACACTGGTGAATACATCAGTCCCCAACTGAATCTGAATCCTATCTTTTCCTAATCTCCCTTGACCCAGAACTGAATTTCACAATCACTGCATCACTGTCTTCCCATTGTTCATAGATTGACTCAAGCGGGCGCCAGTAACGTCTCTATTCTTCCAAGCCCTGAGATTTTAGCAGCCTCATCTTACTTGTCTTTTCCCAATGATTGGAGGCTCTTTCAGGGTCAAGGGAATGAGACCTGTAGTCGTTACTGTTTTTGGCATATCAAGTACACCATGGGGAGCTTGTCAGGCTCTGCTCGTGCAGGCAGGATACTCTCCGTAGCTTGCCGGGCTCTCCTAGAGGCATATATTTATATATTTCTCTCTATGATTTGTTGCCTACTGTCTGAAGCCCATCAAGTATGGTGTGGTAGTTAATGAAAATGGGTAGGAAGTGTCTTATAATGTGTCGCGCGATCACAAAGCAGCTGCGTGGTCCAGAAAGCAGCCTGGAGCATGGCGGCGGTTGGGTAGTAGAGGTCAGGTGCCGGGGCTGGGTCCCTTGGGGCGGGGAGGGCTCTCACCCACCCCACTCTGGGGCACCCTGAGTGAAAACAGTCTGGCGTGGAGAACTTCACAATAATTGACTGAATAAACTTTCTAATTTACAAATCTCATCTTGCTACTTTATTATATTTAGAGCCCTTTTACCTTGATATGGCAGGTCCCTTTAAACAGTTACCAGAATTGTTAAGTACTGGGTGCCAGAGCACTCAATGATAGTCATAGCTTATAGATATCACCAAATGATGGCCAAAAGAATGAGAGAAATATGAATATCTCAGTTAGGGCAAAATGCTTTGACTAGGGAGAAATCTGTTTTGCATTGCCCTTGGTGGTGCCAATCACCACATACATAACTTACAAACTCTGGTATCTATTGCTTCAAGTCATCACCAGTGATTATTGTCACTTGTTGAAATAAAGTCTGTGCCTCTCCTAGGTTCTCTCCCCAGTTATTCCTGAGAACCTGAAGGACATGTCTCATCTCTGCCGTGACCCAAACTCTCTCACATGCTGCCCCTCTGGCCTCTTCACTGGCACCTGCTGTTTCGATGTCTCTCATGAATGCCACACATCCTTTGGGGAAGTTAGCAAAGGACAGCTGTCCTTGCAAAACTGTCCCATATTGTTTCAGACATAAAGACCTACTTTATTGAAGCAAATCTCAGGAAGCACAGTGGCTCTCTGGGATCAGGCTGCTGGATGGAAGTGGGTGTCTATCTTGTGGTAACTGTGTGAGTGTGACAACTGTCACTCTCTGTGTAAACAACAGCTGATCCTGTGAATATGGGACTCCTCTTTGGGAAGAAGCCTTGAAACTACTATCCAGACCCTCAGAATTCCCTGGCTCACACTCACCACAAAAGGATGAACGGTGTGTAGAGAGGAAATGCAGCACAGCATAAAAGACTGCAGAGAAGCCCATGGTATCCCCAGCGATAGCCAGAGACCTACAGAATACGAGGGCAGTTCTTAGTGGTCGTGATGGTGGAGATAACTTCTCTTTCCTTGGATATCACTCTCAGGAACGCCTCTGATCTCTGTTCTCACTTTTTTAAGCCATGTTCCTCAAGGAGGCTCTCACAGAAGCCTGTTTCCTTCAGCACACACCACATCATATAGGTACGTGCCTGTGGTTTGTAAGGGTGTTTGAGCAGAGGTGGGTTCTCCTTTGCCACTGTTTCCTGAACATTGCAGGGCCTTGGTGTGATGATCTGCAGAGCTGCCATGTGTTTTACATAACCACTAGCTAGAACAGTGTTACTCAACCTTTTTCTGACTGTGACTCCCTTTTGCCCATGTTCCCTTCTCCTGTCCTGCTCCATCTTACCAGTTGGTCTCCTGATGTTGCACTGTGGGCCCCCATTTACATAGTTTTCACTTGTGGCCCCTACGAAATATTCTGGGAGTCCTTAGGAAAGTAGATGATTCCTAATTGAGAAATGCTGGTCTAGAACAAAAGTTCCCAAATTTAATTATCTTTCCACTCCCTTTTCAGAAAAATCATCACTGCTCCCCCCCCCCCCCCACACACACACCAGTTGCATCTCAGGTTACTATTACCCTCAGACTTGTCCTGGCAACCCAAAGTGGTGGTACAGCCCACCCTGGGGAAAACTGATCTAGAAGGAAAGACCAGGCCAGTAGTGTATACCAGGACCAAAGCCCACAGTGTCCCTGGCAGCAGACATCACCATTTTTGGAGATTCTGGGGTCCCAGCATCCAGGGCATGTTGTAGAAGCAGGGTTGCCCCCAGTGCTAAAGAGTAGGATCAGAAGAGGGCCATCCTGGGTAGGTTAGGGACTCCCCTGGTTACTGGGGTTCGAGTCCTCAGGAAGGATCAGATGAGGCGAGTGAATGAAATCTGGGGTAGTCCATTTTACCTGGAAATGGGGGAGCATGAGAGGGAAAGTGGAGATGAGCTAGCAGGAAGTTGTGGCTTCCATTTTGCAGCCCAGGTTTCCTCAGTGAAGGGGATATAGAAGCTACGGGAAGAGGGAGAAGGCGAAGGAAATTTTGGGAAAGTCGATGTTCAACAGACAGGGCTGAGAAGAATCTGTAAGAATCTGGAGGTGCCAGAGTTCTGCCATGTGCACTTAAGCAGAGCATTACTCAGCTCCAGGATGCACTGTCTGCCTCGACTGAGTGGCAACCCCTTCAGCTGGGCCTTACCCCTTTTCCACAGCCACACCTATCATCCCCATGCTCATGCCATCTCTTCTCTAAAATTTGATCTTAAAGGTTGATCTTACTCTGCAAAGTCTCGCTAAGAGAAAATTGCATTAGAGCCCCTTTGCTTGCTGGGATTACATCTTAAATTATGCATGTGATGTAAACACTAATTTAACATTACAAATATGTCCCCAAAAGACTGACATTTGTCTTTCCAAATAGTGGGATATCACTCTTAATTTCTGAAAGCCAGAATCAGGTGTTCCAGCTGGTATTTTCTCCATCCTTGTTTCCCACCCTCTGACAGCCCCTCTGAACACTGGTCCTTTCTCCTCTCTCACCAGAGGCCCCACCCATTACTCAAGATGAATTATTATTTTAACACTTACTCTGTGCATACCATAAAGAAAATAAAAAACAAATGTAATTACTATAATTCTTCCATCTCTGAGATTTTGTCCTGATTTTGCTCTCCCCAAACCTCAAATTTGCTAATCTCCAGGTGTGACAACACCTGCTTTCTTAAACTGTCAGCCTGCTTTGATTTTTTCCCCTATATCATGGTTCCAGCCCTGCTGCTATGCTGCTATGTTGATATGACTTTTTGTTGTCCTCAGCAGTGCTTGCCCTTGAAGATAATTCAGAGAAAATCAGTCCCCAAACAATGGGGCAGAGTTGGTGAAATAGCACAGTGGTAGATGCATATGTCTACCCATGCATTACACAGTGCTACATGCCCCGCCACCCCTCACGCCCCTCCGCCAGCATATTTTGGAGTAGCCC